AACTCCCAACTCTTGAAGCACAATCGCCCCCCTCAGATGTCGGGTATTGAGGTTGGAGGAATTGTCTTGTCACTTGAACAATCTGGAGCAACATTAGAAATGACTTTAAAAATTTCTGCCTTTATCCCTGTTTTAAACTGTTACTGTGTCTCCCCTCTTAGTCTTAAGAACAATGTTCTCTCTATATAAAAAACTTTTTTCTTCAAAGGTGGCCCATAAAAGTATTTTCTAGCATTAGGTCAGTCTTGGTCAAACATAATCATAGGGAATGTTTCCACTACATGTTTGACAAAGTCAATAGAGAACAGAAGAAGAGTTGGAGGAAACCAGTAGGCCAATAAGAAAAAAGCAGAGGACTTTGGACCAGGCTGCTCTGCGGTGAAGACGCTGCTATGGTGATGATAGAATGGTTGCTAGGTGGTTACCCAGTAACTGTGGAGGACCTGTGTCTGTTCACCGGTTTGAACCATCTGACAGGTAATGGTTAACACACAATCAATGCTTCAGTCTGTCTGCTGCTTAGTTCAGCTTTAAATAAATATGAAACTTTATCCGATCAGATTAATAGCAGTGATAATAATGAAAAAAAGAATCAAAGTTTTCTCTTTTTCTGCTTGATGGATTTTTATTGCTTTAAATGTCTTTTAGTGAGGTCCACGCTTAGAGTTTTATTGCATTTTAAATGCAGAAGGTGTACTATGTTTACCTGACATGTTCACAGGATGCTGAAGCGACCAAAATGAATGAATATTCTCTTTGGAGCAAAGCTCACAAACAGCACAGAAACTCACTGTTGAATAATCATCAATATTCCATACTGCCAGGTGTGTGTGGGCGTCTGTGTGTGTATGTAGAAGGTCAGATTGCCTTATTCATGCAAAAAACGCACACAATAGTATCTAGTATCCAGGCCATACCTGAATTAATAAACAGAGAAGTAAACAGACAACAAAGATTCATTAGAACACATAACAACAAAGAAGTTCACCCCTTAAAAAAAAGAAATGAAGAAATTATAGAGAATAAAATTATCGCATAACTCTAGAAACAAGACAAACAGCTTTGCAAGAGCAGAATTGCATTCAGCTTTAATGTAGTTAAAATGCATTTGAAAATAATATGATGGTCATAAATAAGCAAACTGAAGGACGCTCCATATTTACATGTGACACCAAGAGGAAGAAGACTGGTTTTTAGAAACATGTTGCGGCATAAAGCAGAAGCACCACAGGAAGTAGCTGCAGAACAAACATCCAATCACAGTCAGTCCCCTACACTATTTTTTTAAAAGATTTTTTCTGTCTCATTCTTTTGGCAGGTGTGACTCAAACTGTCATAACTCAACGTGTTCCCACATGACGTTCAAAGTAACAGCAGATTCCTTCTGGAGGCGTAGCTGAAATATTCTTGACATTTTTAAAAACTTTAAATAGGGAAACTTTACTTCTGACGCATCTCAATACACAAAAAGTAACAGTATGAATACAGCAATGCAAAAATGCAATCACAAGCAATCACTGCACAAACGGGCAATGTTTACAGTGTTTCCAGGGGCAGGAGGAATATCTTGTGCCAGTTAAAGCATAGGCCGCGTTTTTAGAATCACTTAATCGACATGTATGTTTATACAAACAATTACTCAGCATGGCATTACAGTTGGGAACAGTATAGTTATAAATACTCAGACTCCATTTATTCATCTTGGAAGCTTGAGCAAGATCCTCAAAGTGTCATCACATGCCACCTGAAGCATTTGCTTTTAACACAAATGAAGTACAGCGAGCTCTAAAAACAGGTGTTTTGAAGTGCTCGTGCATTGCACATCATCATCATCATTATTATTACAAAGCTCCTTCCTGATTATGTGACCCAAATATCTGACTTTAGTCTCCATGAGAGAAAAAAAACGTGCTCTAAGGATCATTAATAACCATCCATCCAGCATCATGCTTGTTTCATGTTTGTTAGAAAAGTCATCAATATACAAATTGATGAGAACAGGTGACAATGCCCCACCTGGTCGGACCCTAATGGTTACTAAAATGGGCGTTTGCGCCATCTGATCTGTATAGTTTAATGCAAATAATCTAGGATCCTTATCATGTGTGAGGGGACGTGTTAGAACTTGAAAACAGGCAGCAACAAAGCCTCTCAGTGCAGATCAGCTGCACTGCAATAGTGTTTGGTTTCCATCTGGTGCTCATATGTTGGCACTGCAGTTGTTGGTACTCTACACTGACTTTTATACAAAAAAAATCTAAACACTTGAGAAGTGTCTGAATTGATTTCTCATCAATCTGATCTTGAGCCAAGTCTAATTATTGACAAATGCTGTCTGATTAAAGTGTACTTCTCATAGCTGTTTTTCACCACACTGAGTGATCAGTCACAGCACCAGCTGGGTAATATAAACAAATGCTTATATTCAGGCCATGTCACAGAAATAGTTAAAGCAAAATCCTTCCAGTAAAGTCTGGAAAATCTGCTTTTTCTCCTTCTTTCAGTCATTCGGTTGCTGGTTGCGTACATGCTTTGGGTCCTTGTCTTGTTGCATGACCCAAATCTCATGTCATAAAGCTGCCACCTTGAAATTATCCTGATATTTCGCGCGTTTACTCAGTGGATGCAAGGTGTTCATGTCAGAAGGAGCAGCCCAAAGTCACAGTTAGGAAAAGTTGTATTTTTCTTCTGGATACATAAACCATATATATATATATATATATATATATATATGTGTGTGTGTGTGTGTGTGTGTGTGTGTACTTTTTTACATTTTAAATGATTAATAATTAATATATTTTGTATTCACTAACTGATCAACGTATTCTATTCTATCTTTTTAATTCAATGATTGTTGT